CCACTGCACTCCAGTCTGGGCGACAGAGTAAGACTCCAACTCAAAAAAAAAAAAAAATCAAAACTTACCGAAAACAGAAGGGTCTATAGAAAATCTAAATATAAACCGAATGTTAAGTTTTATTAACACTTTATTGTTTTATTTTATCTCCTTTACTAACAATGGCGATAAGACGATAAGTTAGCTTTTCAAATGCCCAAGCAGAATTAAATAATAAGATGTTCATATTCGTGGAACCAAGAGATTACCTTGATTCTGATGGCAGCTCCAGGTATTCGTAAGAGGCCTTCTGTTTCCAAACCACCCTCTTCAATTTGAGAAATGAGCTGTGTATAAATAGAAAAGCATTCTGATTTTGAGACTTGATTAACAGGTACAATTCAAAATTTAACATCTGCTTCATATATAAATAAACAAAAACTGATGACACTGGCATGTAGACCGGATTTTATGAGGCTTTGAATGCTATTGCAATACCACCATCCTTCAGAACAGTAAGTGCAAAACCTTCAGTTATGATTCAGAAAAAGTTGGGTCTTATTCTACTTTGTAACAAAAGTGTATAATTTTACACAACAGCTGCAGTACTCCAAACCAATGAAGAATAAAGATGTTCATTGTTTAAAAGCACCTCAAAACATCCATTTCGTCTGCTTTTCTCGAAACATACATTCTACAATCAAATAAATCTTATGAAATTCTAGCATTTGCACATTTACATCTCATTTTTGGCTTGTTCCAACATAGAATTATTTATGATATGAAAAAAGCTATTTGCAAATATTCATTTTTAAGGCTATGGTGGTAAACAGAGAAAAATGTCCTTAGATATGATTTCTAAATCATACCCAATGCCCAATGGGTTCATACAGGTCTCTTTATCTCCAGAACCCCGCTAAAAGGCGTTTTTAAGAAAATAAGGCAAATGGATAAATCACAATGACAAACTGTTCGGAGCTAAGAAGATAAAAAGTGGTCGGCTCCTTGACAAAGTGATCTTCCAACTAGAATATGCATTCCCTGGGTAGTACACAAGTCCTTTTTTTTTTTTTTTTGAGCTGGAGTCTCTCTCTGTCGCCCAGACTGGAGTGCAGTGGCCGCTCCCGGCCACCGCAGCCTCGACCTGCTGGGCCAGCGACCCTTCCGCCTCAGCCTTCCAAGTAGCTGGAACTACAGGTGCGCGCTACCACGCCCGGCTGATTTTTTGATTTATTGTAAAGATGAGGTCTCACCAAGTTGCCCAGGCGGTTCTCGAACCCGCGGGCTCAGGCAATCCACTCACCTCGGCCTCCCAGAGCGCGGGATTACAGGCTGAGCCACCGAGGCCGACTACAAATTCTTAATAGTAGGTATTCTACTATTTAAGAAAGTCAATTTCCATGTCCTCAGTGTGAATGCATTTCCTAGCATCATATAGGTTTTCCTTCCTTCCACACATTCTCCTTTCACAATATCCTCCTTCTCCTACTGTAGGAACAAATTTTCACTCGTCCATAATCCTACTATAATATTCTCAGCATGCCCTGAGGCATAAAATCTTCCAGAGTGCCAAAAGAACGTTAAAAAAAAAATTGGTTTTTTTGCTCCTTTAATGATCAACCAAGGCTCTATAAACTACATAAGCTTTCTGTTTTTCTCTTACATATAAAAGGGTCTGTTAGGAGCAAAGTATGGCATCATAAATGGGGTCTTTTGACCTTTGTCTAGAAATTCTGAACTTAGATAAATTCTGCGTATATACACTGGATGCTGGAAGAAAGGTCAATTCTCCCTTAAAGATTTCACCTCAACCAGCATGGCGGCTCATGCCTGTAATTCCAGCACTTTGGGAGGTGGAGGTTAGAGGATTGCCTGAGCCTAGGGGTTCAAGACCCGCCTGGGCAACTTGGCAAGACCTCATCTCTACAATAAATCAAAAAATTTAGCCAGGCTTTGTGGCACGTGCCTGTAGTTCCAGCTACTTAGAAGGCTGAAGCGGAAGGATCAAGCCCAACAGTGCCACTGCACTCCTGCCAGGGTGACAGAGTGAGACTCCAACTCAAAAAAAACAAAAACAAAAACAAGAAAACCCCAAACACTTCACCTCTTCCATTTCTGGATTAGATTATGACCAAAGAATGCATTGATATTGAGGGGAGTTAAGATTAAGTAAAGAATAATCTCAGAATCCTCCTAAGGATATATTATTAGGAAAATAGCAACATCTTTGACCAAAGCAGTACATAATTTTTTAAAAATTCAACTGGAATATTTTCCAAGACCATATTTTTCAAGTGACACTGGATAAAAACCAATGGCTAAAAACTTTATGCAAATTATTTTAGATGCACATTATTCAACAAAGCATTTAAAACTAAAGTTAACAAATATTAGGGAACCCCTGACCCCCTGGAAAAAAACCAAAACGAATTATCTCTTAGAGGACAGTATCCTTGCATTTCTGGTTTTTCCCACTAGGAAAGTGTTCTAGGAACCCATCAGCATCAGTGTATTAGCTAGCATTGTTGTGAGAGTCGACTTGCAGAAGAAACATCCTGAGTTATGGCAAACAGGTGACCACCATGACAACGCACCTGCCCACGCTGTGCTGAGTGTTCAGCAGTTTTTGACCAAAAATGATATAACCACATGCCTCACCCTCCCTATTCACCTTTTTTTGTCTCCCTAGATGAAAAAAGTCTGCAAAGGAGGCATTTTGCCAATGTGCAAGAGGTCAAACAAAAAATGGTAGAAGCACTAAACAGTATCAATATTAACAAGTTCAAAAACTGTTTTGAGCAGTGGGAAAAGTATCCACTTTGGATTGCATCAAACAAAGAGTACTTTGAAGGTGACTGAAGAATAAATACCCACTTTTTTATTTTTTTTTTGAGTTGGAGTCTCACTCTGTCACCCAGACTAGAGTGCAGTGGCCGCTCCTGGCCACCGCAGCCTCGACCTGCCGGGCTCCGGCGATCCTTCCGCCTCCGCCTTCCGAGGAGCCGGAACTACAGGCGCGCGCTACCACACCCGGCTGATTTTTTGATTTTATTGTAGAGATGAGGTCTCACCTGCCCAGGCGGGTCTTGAACCTGTGGGCTCAGGCAGTCCACTCACCTCAGCCTCCCAAAGGCGCGGGATTACAGACTGAGCCACCGAGCCCAGTTATTTTTCTGCATTTTTATATTTGAGTCTTTTTATTATTCTCTAAGGCAGAATATCAGCACCCAAGAGTTGTGTGTGTGTGTGTGTGTGTGTGTGTGTGTGTGTGTGTGTTCTAAAGCAGAATATCAGCACTCAACAGAGCTATGTATATATGTTGTCTGAGGGAATGGCACGTGTTTTCTCCTATTTCTCACTTTGAAAATAACATTTTTAGCTGCCGTGTTATATTGCATTATTAAAATATAAATAATAGGAGATACTTTATAGATTTTATTTTCAAAACTTAAAATAGAGATGGAAATAGCTATACTGATTTATATATTTGAATCATGCTACTTTTACTAATTTATAAGATCGTTTCTATAAATTATCAGTGATTTTCATAACATTGCTCAAAATATAGATTGCATACATGAACTGAAAAATGAAATAAAATGAAGTCAGACTTTTTGACACAAAGTATGGCTGCCTGGGATGACTGGTGAGAACACTGGCTTTGATAATTAGGCACAAGGCAGACTTTTTCCATAGATGAAAGTTAATGTTATCTCTATTTCCCCAAACTTCTGGAAATATGGCTTAAATAATGTATCACTGAGAAAAAATTAATATACAGTTCATAGATATTAGATAAGTTTTGTTATGACTTTTTTGGGTATACATCTCCCCAAAATTAAAGTATAACCCTCAAGGACTGGTGATGAATCTTTTTTACCAATCAGTGGGTTTTCAATTTTTTCCATTTGACAAAACTGAGAGAAGACCTAATTGAGCTATCAGCTGATAAATCAGAAGACATTTTTCATAACAGATCACTGCGATTTTCTGCTTATAATTCACAGAGGACGCAAACAGATGAGTGTTATCTACAAGCAAACTCTTCATATGAGCAAAAATACTTTAGGGCTATCATTCAATACTTCAAGGCAGCCAGTCTCTCCAGAAAGCTGAAGAGACCAAAAATGCAAACGAACTAACTAAATAAATAAGAAAAGAATTTCAAAAGAAAATGGCAAAGGAGATTTCTCCTAAGAGACTGGATGCAATTCTCAGCCGAGGCAGGAGGCATTACTGAACCTTCATGGGAGTTGGAGCTTACTGTCCTTCCAAGGTGTGATGGTGAGTTTTGTGCAGCAACTTGTCCAGTCTCTAGTTCCCAGTCATCTAGTCAAACACCAAGCTAGATGTTACAGTGACACTATTTTTTAAAGATGCGATTAACTTTTAAATCAATCAACTATGAGTAAAGCAAATGACCCTTTGTCATGTGGTGGGTCTCATCCAATCAGTTGAAGGCTCAAAAGAGTTAGGCTTCCAAAAGCAGGAGCAATGTGGCCTGAAGACCACAACATAGAAACTGCCTCATCCTGCAGTTGTTGGACTCAAGACCATGGCCTGATTTCCAGCCTGCATTACGTATATCAGACTTATCAGCCCCAACAATTGAGCGAGCCAACTTTTAAAAATAAACCTCTCCATCTCTCTCTACATATGCCTATTGGTTCTTTTTCTCTGGAAAACCTAAACTAATACACCTGGAAAGGACACTGCTGAGATCCGTGTTTTGCATAGCCATGGGTATATAGTAACTTGCACCTTGTATTGACAGAAGAATGGAATATGTAGCCTCTGTGTGTTAGCTTCCTTCAGTTAATCAGATGCACTGTTGACAACTCTTCATACAGACACAGATTCTATAAGCAGTGGCTGGCAGAGGCTGATAAGTGGAATAAACTGTGTAGAACAAAGTGTATCAAGAGAAACAATGAGAACCAGGGTGGTTTTTTATTTTTTCCTTTTATTTGTAATTTTTTATTTTATCTTTTTTTAATGAGACAGGTCTCAATATGTTGTCCAGGCTGGTCTCAAATTCCTACGCTCCAGCAATCCTCCTACCTTGGCCTCCCAAGGTGCTGGGATGGCAGGCATGAGCCTCCGTGCCCGCCCAGAGATACAGGCTTGTATGTAATGATGAATGTAAGAAATAAAGTCACCAGGGGTTAGTAGGTGAAATGTAAATGACTGGTTTGAAATAGGAAAGAATAAGAACAGAGTAGATGGAACCTTATTAGTAGATGAGTTTGCTGAGCCAATTAGCTGAGAATTTCTGTTGTCGCCAGAAATTCCAGAAACTGTGATATGCCTAGACTGCGGCAAAGAATCTCCAGCTTGGGTAGTCCACAACTGAGTTGACCTGGCTTCTTCAGTGTACATTCCCTGGCTTTTATCAAATGTAATCTGAGCTTCTGAATAATGATAGCTCAGACATTGGATGGAAATTTTTATATTGTCATAGATAATCCCCTTATGAATTACTGAGTGTTGACTACACAAGTGACTTAATAGTTTAGCAATCGTTTTCTAATTCTACTTTATGGTTTCTTTGCCTACTTTGGAAATAGGCACCGGTAAATTAAATTGGACATCCTCACTGTAAATAGGGAAGCTTAGGAAATACATGCAAGCATGAAATATTCACGAGAATGCAATTCCCTAGAAATTTATAAGCAGGTCCCACTCCTATGTATTATAGAACTGGAATCTCAATTATACAAAGCCAGCTAATATAAGACAGGAAAATGATGCCAGGTAATCACAGTTATAGTAATAACAGAAAGTATCACCATGAAATAAAAATTGTGAGCCCTTGAAATAAATTTGCTTCCTGAATAGAAAATCAAAGTACAAAATACAAGAGCATATCAACTGGAACACTATAATAGTATGAATACAAGAAACCACTCAAGTATGTTCTTGCTATACTGACCAGTCCAGGCCTACTTACTTTTTGAAAGATCAAGGGTATTCTACTGCCCGGGACTTTCCTCTGATCTTGTTCTAACAATACTGCCAACGGAACACAAAAAAGACCAGAATCTGCAAGAGGAAAAAAAAAAAATTCTTCACTTTTGTCAATCCATAAAAGTTTAATACAAAAATGTTAAAGCATAAGATTTCGGATATCGTCATTCAAGCATATAACTATTTATTGACCAGCTACTAAGTGAATGATGCCATTTGGCCATTAGGTACACACAGGCCAAGAGAAAATCCTGGCCCTGTGTACAGAGAAGTCTAGCAGGGAAAGACAATTAAAAACATGATTGTAAATAATTACTGACATAATTGGAAAAGTACAGACTGGTATATAAGAGAACCACAATGCTACAAGAACATGCAAAAGATTTAAACAATTTGCTAAATGTAATCAAATTAAAAATCCGACTTAAGAGCAAATATCACTCATCTCTTCATAGTAAATTGACATTTAACATTTTACAATACAGCAAAATATAAGTATTTGCTTTCTGAGAAGTCAGCCAACATTATAATCTTGGTCTACAAATGTTTCTGTTCAGAAAATGGATACGTGGTATTGTTGATTTTAAATAAGTAGTTTTAAAAACTCAAGAATAGCTCCAGAAGAAGTAATAAGCAATACTTTATCACTGTTCTAAATTAAAATCATATGCTTTGAATCTGGTATGAACACAGCTTCTACCAGCACCTACAACCTGCTCCCGTCACTGAGTAGATAGATAATTTGCGCTAAAGCGATAACTTTTCCCTTCATGATACACACTACCAGGGAAATAAAAATCATCTGTGAACAAAGAAAAGGAGATACCGTAGTAGGAGGACAGACATTGGACATGGACGCTTAACTGAGATGCCATCCAAAAGAACGCCGGTAATCCAGTAAGTAACTTTTCAGTTTGGGAAATAAGAAAAGATAAAACCCTCAAGAATGCCAAGGGTCTAGTGTAAAATATAAAATAAATATCTTGGAGAAGACACATCGATATTTTAAGAAGATGGAAAGAAATTGTATTAACCGTGATAGTCTTCATCTAAACAACTTAATATTTCTCTGCTACGATGCAATACTAAAACACATAACTAGAAAGAAAAAAAGAAAGCCTCCCTGAGCCACTTAAAAAAAAAAATCTCAGGCACTGAATCACAATCATTTAAAGCGTATTTTTATTTTGTATCTGGAGAAGGCTTTGTGATGAGCTTTTTAAAAAGCATCTAAAGTCTTCAGTATCCATGATGGACTTATGAAAAACCAGAGCACTATTTAACTCAGAAATTCCTCATCCTAGGCCTGAAGCTAAGAAACTCAAAGGAACAGAGCACAGAGTGAGGTCTTCTGGGGCCCAGCATGACAGAGGACCTGAAGGAAAGGTACCTTTCAGCCCTACAGAGGAATTGCCTCTAAAACCTAAATCAGGTGAATACTTGTCTTTGCTGGTTACCATGGCAACTCAATAATCCTCATAGTTTCTCTTTAGGAGATACCTTTAAGGTTAAATAAGAGGACAGAGATTCCTAAACAGTCAAGCTGGGTCAACAGAGAATTATCTGGATTTCTGGACCAATGAAATCTTGGACAAACAAAAACTGAGGAGGTGTCTACTCTCAATCATATTTAAAAAATCAAGTATATTTATGTAATGGGTAATGCAAGCTGATTACAAAATAAAAACTACATGTTTCCATAATGAGTACAATCTCGTGGTACTGTGTGTCACAACGGCCTTATTTTCTGAATAGGGGAAAGCATGTTTTTGCAAAATAATTAAAATTCGAATGTCCACAAACAGAGGGACTAGTAACTATCCTGTGTATTTTCTGTTCAACAAACAAGCAGAAGTAATCATTCAGAAGCAACCATCTTAAAGTCATTTGTCAGGATCTGATTTTGGAAATGAATATATGTACCAAACATGATTTTTAAAATACATAGATTTCAAAGGAGAAAGCTCATGAGTTAAGATTCCTTTTCCCGGAATTTCCTTCTTGGGCATTAAATTTTTTGATTATGCCTTGATTTTCTGTAGTCTAGGGCAAAGTGTTATATGAGGTTATAACATTTATGAAGGCCATGTCTTAGAACATGAACTTCAGATAGATTCCAGCACTGGTTCATTTTGCAGGTGTTGTCCCATTTGCCCCAAGCACACTGCTAAAAAGCCAAACCCATCCTTGCAAATTCAGAAGGAAATCCTTAACTGTCTCCCATTTCAGGATTACCTTTTGTTTTGATTTTCACAGCTTTCTGTTGTTTCAGTTCAACACCCAATACGTCATAGAGGGCAGTCAGTTCAATTAGCGCGAGAGAGCAAACTTTCTTCATGTCCTGGGGTGCGAGGTCACCGATCCTCGTGGTGCCTGTTTTGTCTTTTGGCAATCTGAAATTCTGAAAAAAAATGCCATTAATATAGAGTGAGTTGACACTCTCTAACCGCTTTTGTAATGCAAGAAGAGAAAACTGAACCATAGGAAAAAATGGCGTCTCAGAATAAATGACAACAAAAACCGTGGCAAAATTCCTCCAGTCAGAATGAAGAGTGATCCCAGCAGGATGATGTGTGGAGTTCAAAAGTTAACATCCAAACTCAGACAGACAGTGGGACCAGACCTCGAATGGGGAGTACGAATGCCAGTGGCCCAGAGAACAAGAGAGGCAGTGAGAAAAAGCCTTCTAGTTAAATCACCTTCAAGAACCATGGAAGGTTAGAAGTCAAGCACAGACTAAGAGAAGGGAAGACGAGGAGGAAGAGGGAGGGAAGGTAATAGAAGAGGAGATGACATGAGGAAGACAAATAGGAGGAAGAGAAAGAGGACAGGCAACCATGAATGTGGGCTTAGAATGTGCCAGGTACTCTTCACATGCATTATGTCTCTTATTACTGTCACACGTACAGAAACAAGTAAGACTGATATAGAAAGGCCATGTAGCACAGGAGAAGGCGCACAGAGGAGAGGCTGGGACCACAGACCTCGGGGCCAGAATGCCTCCTTACGAGCTGTATGACTTACACCAAATGCTTGATCTTTCAGTAAAAGAGGAAGAGAGTGAAAGAGAGAGAAAGAAGAAGCAGGGCAAGGACAAGGAGGAAGGGGAGGAGGAGGAGGAGAATGAGCTCTCTTAATCTAGAGAGCTGTTCTGAGGTTTAAGCGCCCAGCACATCCCAAGTACTGTTATGTGGTTGTTATCACAAGTCGAGTATCCCTCATCCAAAATGCTTGGCCCAACGAAGTGTTTGGGATATCAGATATTTTCCGATTTGGGAATATTTGGACACACACAATGAGAGACCTAAAGGAAGGGAACCAAATCTAAACACAAAATTCATTTATGTTTCACGTACACATAACCTCAAGGTCATTTTATAAAACATTTTACTAATTTTGTGCGTAAAACAAGAGAGAGCCTTCAGGTCCGCTGTAAAAGGGACTGTCTTAACTTCTTGCAATACTTTTTCTTCCTAGGGGAACGTTAAATAAAACAGCAATAAATATCATTGAAGGTGGAACCTGATATAGTGTGGATATCTGTCCCCTCCAACTCTCATGTTGAAATGCAGTCCCCAGGGTTGGAGGTGTGGCCTACTGGAAGATGTTTGGGCCACGAGGGCGATCCCTCCTGAATGGTACCCTCCCTGGTGCTATGGATGAGTCCTTGACCTGTCAGTTCACATGAGGGCTGGCTTCTCTCTCTTTCTCTCTCTCTTGCTTCCTCCCTTGTCATGTGACACACCGACTTCCCCTTTGCCTGTCACCATGATTTTGCATTTCCTGAGGCCTCACAAGAAGCAGACGCTGGAGCCACGCTTCTCGAACAGTCTGCAGAACCAAAAGTCAAATAAACCTCTTTTCTTCATGAGCCCAGCATCAGGTATTTCTTTACAGCTAGTGCAAACGCACACAGAGCCTAACTGGATTTCCAGCAGTGAGGGGACGGCCTCCGCGGTGGCGCAGTGCACAAAGGTCAAGTGCACCCGACCACAGGTGGCAAATCCCGTCTTCATCACTTACTAGCTCTGTGACCTTTGGCAAACAATGTCACTTTCTGGACCTCAGCGTCTTCATCTGTAAAACGAGAATAAAACACCCTACCTTATAAGGCTGTGGTGAGGTTCAAGTGGCACGTAATTAGTGCTCAAAATGTGGTAAGTATCATTTCTGTATTTTTTCACAGAGCCTTTAAGATCATTTCAACTTTTCATGCTTTTCCTTTTTTTCCTATATATTATGACAAGAAAAAAATCATCATCATCATAATACTTCTGTCGGATGAATGGTTTCTTGTTATGTTCTGCAAGAGTTCCAACAGGAAAGGAATTACCACAGCACATTCTAGGTGGTAACACGAAGGCTCAGGAAAGAGACTTAAACGTGGCCACATAGCCGGTGATGTAAGCAAATCTTCTAGACCCTGAGTTCAGCAACCATTCTGTTCTACTCCATTTCCCGACCGACCACAGCAGGGAGGGAGAAATCTAGGCTGACAGGTGTTGACAAGGGGTCACAAGCCCCTCAAGGAGAGAAGCCACGTCTTAATCACCTCTGCACCCCTACTGTCCATAGACTTGGCCCACTACAGGTGCTCTGCCAGGCCTCCAGAATGAAAACACACATCCTACTGGGAGAAAGGCAACAGATCAAACTAGGCTGCAGGCTTGATGGTCCCCTAATTTTCTGTGATCTGTACTGTTATTTTTTTAATCACATAAAACTCATCACATTTTTATCACATGTGGCCCTATAATTCTGCTACTTGTTTTGGTTTCTGGATGGCAGAAGGAAGCACATTTACCATTTATTAAAAAAAAAAAATTCCTAGATGTTTCATTAAAATCAGTTGCTTTTGGTCCAATAAGCCAAACACATGCAATACAATCATTGAAAGCATTACCCAGGGTAAATGTTTAGAGAATCTGGAAATATTATTAATGCAAACATTTGATTTACCTAGCAATATATGTCATGGGCTGATTTATTTATTTATTTAAACATTGTGCTTAATGAAGGCGTTAGTTCTTTATCCTGATGTTTAATTCATAGCAGCGGCTTTAAATATTTATGAAGTTTCCTGTCGCTTTCTGTTTAGTTAATAAACTGAATGGTTCAGTTCGTTGGCTGAGAGAAAGCAGGGGAATTTCAGCAAGAGAAAAGCTCTTTACCTTCTGAAAAATGTGTTTGAAGAAAAGAATGACATAAAATTTTTCAAAAAACATAAGGTCATTGGTTTCTCTGTGTTACCATAAATTAATTAGGTGGCTTTTCTGACTACCCCTCTTCTGTAGAATCTGTAGTGCAAAGAGGCCCTTAGGCCCTTAATCAGTAATGGTGAACTTGACTTTTGTACTCATCAAATCACTCTAGTTTTGACTTGCAAAGCCAGAGAAAAGCTTCAAAAGCTTAGTCATTAAAGCCAAGTCTCGACATGTCATGAAATCTCTCTAACTTGTTTCCATGAATGAAAAATAGGGATAAGAATATCTACCTCATCAGGGTCATTTGATCAAGAAATGAAATAGACAGCATAATTTCTGAGTTATAATATATATGTAATAAGTAATAGCTAAAATCTCAAACTAAAGCACACCAAAGGTTATAAAACCTGATCTCTAAACTGAAGGGGAGAAATTTGAATCCACTGTAAGAGATATGAAAAGAATTAACAAAGATGCTCAATGCTGTAAGAAAAAGGGAAGTGTATACAAAATGAGGTCAACAGAGAACAATGTATTACGTAAAGCCTACTGGTTATTTACAGAAGCAGGGAAGCATGGAGGAGAAATGGAACTCAAGGTTTTATCTGCATAGACACCTGCCTCAGAGTAGTGTATATAAATATTCACTTCAGCCATGTGACTGGTAGAAACTTCACAACGTACCCTATGATCTCTAGAAGACCCATGGATTAAAAAAAAATGTTCTACAGATGAGTAGATGTATATATGTATACACAAACACATGGATAGATTGATAATAATTATCAAAAGCATGCTACCTAATAGTTTAAAACATAACTTCATATATTTTATCTAATATGAGCTCACAGGAAAGACTCCTTAACAAGAAAGCTGGAACCTGATCAAGCCTCTAAGGGATAGATTAAGGCTTCCTTGGCAAATATGGAAGAGTGTGGGGGGGAACGGAAGAAGATGTCATTTAAACTTGGGGTACAACATGAACAAAATCAAGAAGGTGGATGAGCACAAATTTGTTTGAGAATAAAGTGGCAGAGGAAGTCTTGTTTTAAAACTTCTTGGCCGGGCTCGGTAGCTCAGCCTGTCATACCAGCACTTTGGGAGGCCGAGATGAGTGGATTGCCTGAGCCTGTGGGTTCGAGACCCATCCGGGCAACTTGGCGAGACCTCGTCTCTACAATAAATGAAAAACAAGCCAGGCGTGGTAGCGGTGCCTGTAGTTCCAGCTACTTGGAAGGCTGAGGTGGAAGGATTGCCAGAGCCCAGCAGGCTGAGGCTGCAGTGGCCGGGAGCGTGCCACCGCACTCCAGCCTGGGTGACAGAGTGAGACTCCAATTCAAAACAAAAACAAAACAAAACAAAACAAAAAACTTCTCAAGTGGAGATTTATTCTGTTTGAGTTACCAACTTAGAAGTCAACGAGATCTTCATTTTGTTTAATGAGATTCTACTATTCTTCCATGTAAAACCTTTCTGTATTTGGAGATGAGATGAAGACTGCCCTGAGGAAAAAGAGTGGATCATCACTTTAGGGAAAATTTTGCATCCTCCTTTACTTTTTCCACTAGGTATAAAAACAGATTTTTAAAAAAATATGAGAAAGCCTGAAAAGGATTCAGATGTCCATCATCAAAGGACTGACTGAATAAATTATGACACATTCTTACAATGAGTGCAACGCGTCTACAAAATAGAATGGAAAATATTTCTCTATACTACTCCAGTATGATCTCCAGTCTATCTAGCAAAGTCAAAAAGAATACCAAGAGCCCGGCACGGCGGCTCAGCCTATAATCCCAGCACTTTGGGAGGCCGAAGTAAGTGGATTGCCTGAGTCCGGGGGTTCAAGACTGGCCTGCGCAACTTGGTGAGACCTTGTCTCTACAATAAATCAAAAAACTAGCTGGGCATGGTGGCATGTGTCTGTAGTTCCAGCTACTTGGAAGGCTGAGGTGGAAGGATCGCCTAAGACCAACAGGTTGAGTCTGCGGTGGCCATGAGCAAGCTACTGCCCTCCAGCCTGGGTGATGGAGTGAGACTTCAACTCAAAAAAAAAAAAAAAAAAAAAACCAGACAAACTATGATATTAAAATGAAAAGGCCAGGTGTGGTGGCTCATGCCTGTAATCCCAGCACTTTGGGAGGCTGAGGTAAAAAAAAAAAATGAAAAGAAGATTGCCTCTAAGAGAAGAGATTGGAGAGGATGGTAGCTCAAGGATAGAAGCTAGACTTGTAACACACTTAGTGTTAAGCTTTGACTTTTAGACTATAAAAATATTCTACAGACTTAAAAACAAAATTAAATTTCAACAAAGCAATCTCTAAAAATGGAAAATAAAGGGAAGCAAATTAACACAACCAGTGATACAATTGGTGGCTTAACCATACAAAGAATAACAAACCCAAGCAACCTAAAACACAATCATTCTACTGTATAAAATCATAAGTAATCATATTGTTGACAGTAGTGTTTACATAGTTATTCTGAGAACGCTATGCATTAATGTAGGATACAGAAAATAAGTAATAATGTGATATTCTAAATATATCATCTGCCATTTCCTGAGAAGGACAATTCTCAGCATGGACGAAAGAAGATACTGATATACCTCTGCCCTTGGGTCCTCTGAAAAGGCTTGAAAGCAATGATCGCCAGGCTCGGTGGCTCAGCCTGTAATCCTGCACTTTGGGAGGCCAAGGTGAGTGAATTGCCTGAGCCCGCGGGTTCGAGACCTGCCTGGGCAACTAGGCAAGACCTCATCTCTACAATAAATCAAAAAATTAGCCGGGTGTGGTAGCGCGCACCTGTAGTCCCGGCTACTTGGAAGGCTGAGGCGGAAGGATCGCCGGAGCCCAGCAGGTCGAGGCTGTGGTGGCCAGGAGCGGCCACTGCACTCCAGTCTGGGTGACAGAGTGAGACCCCAACTCAAAAAAAAAAAAAAAAAAAAAGAAAGCAATGATCAACCCAGAGCAATGAACACTTCTTATGTCCTGATCATAATCTTAGTCTATTTCTACTAAACGGAACCAGAGTTTCCCGCAGAAACAAATCGTTCTATGTCTGGAGCAGAAAATACACCAGATAATCCTGAAAAATTTTGTCTAGGGTCATATCAAATATGTGTAAATCCATGAGTTAAGTAAGGTTAGGTTTACAAGCCAGGCGTGGTGATTCACACTTGTAATCCCAGCACTTTAGGAGGCTAAGGTGGAGGATCAGTTGAGAGACGTTCAAGACCAGTCTTGGCAACACAACAGGACTCAGTTTCTACAAAAAAAATTAAAAAGTAGTCCCAGCTACTCAGGAGGTCAAGGCTGTAGTGAGCTATGGTCACACTACTGTACTCTAGCTGGGAGACAGAGCTAGATGGTGTTTCAAACAAAAAAAATAAGAGAGAAAGAGAAGAAAGGAAAAAGGAAGAAGGAGGAGGAGGAGGAAGAAGACGAAGATGAGAAAGAAGAAGAAGAAAGGAAAGAAACAAGGAAGGAAAGAAGAGAAAGAAGGAAGGAAGGAAGGGGAAGAAAGAAAGACTAATAAATAAAACATTATAAAAAATAACTCATCACTGGTGAAAGACGCTAGGAAGGCAACAAATTTTCCTAAAGAAATATTTACATGAGTAAATTTAAAAAAGAAGAAAATATTAGAGCGTCATAACTCTGCAACCATTAGTAAAATAACGGATTCAGGTACTGCTCAGAAACAGCTGCTAATTTCACAAAAAAAGAAAGACAACCAAATGTCACCAGGAGTCTCGTGACAGAGGACGCACAAGCATATATCTGAAGTAGCATTGATTAAAAAAAAAAAAAAGCCTTGAATCTGCATCTGATCAATTTAAAGTCAACCAATTTATAAGAAACAGAAGAACATGTTAATGACACCAGGGAGATAGAATTAGCCAGCGGGGGGGATTCTCTATAATTTAATAACCAGATTTCTTCAACAAATAAATTGGGAGGAAGGAAAAACAGGGAGAGGGAGGGAGAGACATAGGGAGAGGGAGGAGGAAGAAAAGGAACAAAGAGAGAAAGAAGAGAGAAATGGAGGGCAGATGAAGAGTCTTAAAAGATGTATCAACCAGTTGCAACACACGGGCCTTATCTGGATTCCGACTCGAACATACTGTACAAAAGGTTCATAAAGTTTGCGATACAATTTGAAATGGGAACTCTGACTAGTTATTTCAAAAGAAAAATTGTTAGATTTTTCACACAATGGTAATATGGATGTGTTTTTTTAAATCCCCTCTTTCTCTTTTAGAAATATTAATATTTCTAGGAGGATGAAATACAATTCAGAGATATGTTTTAGAATAACACACAGTGGGGACCTGGACGGGGCATAGAGAGGTCAGGACTGTCCGTGGGTTCATGGCTGTTGAGGCAGAGTGATGAGTATTTTGGGAGTCATTAAACTACTGTCGTTAACTTTTGCATGTGTGCAATTTTACATAATAAATAAATGTTCTTTTTAAATACAAAACGCTCAGTAGCAGTAAGAACACTTAGTACACAGAGCTTGGTGTCTAAATACAATTCGTTGCTAACAGGAACCAGAGCTTCTTGAAGACATGGATGCTTTCAAGTCTGAGGGAAGAAAATTACAAGGAGAGCCTGGAACGTCTTATGCTACAGAACAAAGAAGCAATTATTGCAATAAATGTAGAAGGAGCAATGAATTTAAAAATCACCATTTCTCAAACACCAGTTCAATTATTGCTTCAGGCAAGGTTACAAATGGATGGTAAAGCCACTGGATGATAGGTTATTACTGATGAACACAATATTCACCTGGTCTCAGTATCACAAATTAACATTAACTGGACATAGGAAAGATATCTTTACAATGAAATGATCTGGCCGGGCTCAGTGACTCAGCCTGTAATCCCGCGCTTTGGGAGGCCAAGGTGAGTGAACTGCCTGAGCCCACGGGTTCAAGACCCGCCTGGATAACTTGGCGAGACCTCATCCCTACAATAAATCAAAAAATTAGCTGGGCGTGGTAGCACGCGCCTGTAGTTCCAGCCACTTGGAAGGCTGAGGCAGAAGGATCGCCCAGCAGGTGGTGGCTGGGAGCGGCCACTGCATTCCAATCTGGACGACGGAGTGAGACTTCCACTCAAAACAAAAAACAAAAAAAAACAAATAAAGAAATGATCTGGAGAACATCTCCCCTTAGTCAAATTGATGATCAAACTTCTATCACCAATAAAGAAACCAAACACCTCTTCTGATGATGCAATCAAAGCCATAAACATTGTCTATGTAATAATTTGGTCAAACATTTTTAACTCGAATCTAGTCATAAGAAAGCAATCAAACAGAATCAGAAAATTGATTTGGACTCTTCGAAATTATTAAAGAAGAGGAAAAGCAAAGGACTGATTTGGAGTTAAGAAAACCAAAAAGGCAAGACAACAAATACATCGTATGACGCTTGTCTGAAAACCAAATGGAAGTGGAGAAGGAAAAAGCTATAAAGGACAATCATGTGAAAGTTTGAGCCATTTTAAGATGACTGTATATTAAATTGTTACTTGAGTTTCAATTTCTGTTGTTTTTTTTTTTTGAGTTGGTGTCTCATTCTGTCACCCAGGCTGGAGGGCAGTGGCACGCTCCCGGCCACTGCAGCCTCGACCTGCTGGGCTCAGACGATCCTTCCACCTCAGCCTTCCAAGTAGCTGGAGCTGCTGGCACGTGCCACCATGTCCAGCTAATTTTATTTATTTATTGTAGAGAAGAGGTCTCACCAAGTTGCCCAGGGTTGGCCTGGAACCCACTGGCTCAGGCAATCCTCTCATCTTGGTCTCCCAATGTGCTGGGATTATAGGCGTGAGCCACTACGCCTGTTTCAATTTCTTAAGTATTATAACTGTGTTTTGTTTGTAGATCCTTGTTAAACTCAATAAAAAGTGAGAGTATATCTGAAAGAACACACATATAAATGGATAGATATAGAAAGAAAGAGAGAGAGAGAGAGAGAAAGAAAGATGTAAAAATACCAATAAATCAATCTATAAAGACTGTATGGTGTTTGCTATACTATTCTTTCAACTTTTTTGTGGGTTCTAAGTTTTCAAAATAAAAAGCTCATAAAAATACATTATTATGTCAGTGACATGAACAGTGTAGTACGTACAGGTAAGGTGGCATCGTTGTCTTTGTTCCTCTGGGTCTTCTCCTTCGAGTTATCTTTCTGATTGAGTGCTTGCTCAGCAAATGATACCTCTAGGTTGATGTCGGTTTCAGAGGCAGGTGCCTCCTCAGGTAGGGCCAGTTTCTCTTCACCAACAAGAAGGTTAGATTCCTGGTCTAGAGAGAGAAATAATCCAATTCATATGCTTGCTTACTTTTTTCTTCTATCTCTCTCTCTTTTTTTTTTTGAGTTGGAGTCTCACTCCATCGCCCAGGCTGGAGTGCAGTGGCACACTCATGGCCACCCCAGCGTCGACCTGTTGGGCTCCAGCGATCCTTCTGCCTCAGTCTTCTAAGTAGTTGAAACTACAGGCGTGTGCTACTACGCCTGGCTAATTTTTTGATTTATTGAAAAGGCGAGGTCTCATCCAGTTGCCCGTGCTGGTCTCGAACTCGCGGGCTCAGTCAATCCACTCACCTCAGCTTCCCAAAGTGCTGGGATTACAGGTTGAGCCACCAAGCCTGGTCCTCTCTATTTTTAACTGCTAATGCATAAACTACCTGAAAACCTTTGGTAAGAGTACTATGTTCTATAAGCACTAATTAGCTGTTATTTTATTTTATTTACTTTTTTTGAGTCGGGGTCTCACTCTTGTTGCCCAGGCTACAGTACAGTGGCATGATCAGACTCACCATAGCCTTGACCTCCTGAGCTCAAGCAATCCTCCTGCCTCAGCCTCCCAAGTAGTTGGGACGACTGGCATGGGCCCTCATGCCCAGCTAATTTTTTCTGACTTTTTTACAGAGATGAGGTCTTACTGTGTTATGCAGGCTGGTCTTGAACTCCTGGGCTCAAGCAATCCTGCCACCTCCACCTCCACCTCCCAAAGTGCTGGGATTACAGGAGTAAGCCACTGTGCCCAGCCCCAGTAAACTGTTATTTTAATAGTAAAGAGTATACTTAAGAATCCTATCAATGGTACACAGAAGCTGGTGGAAAGATGGTGGTGTCCTATCAATGGTACACAGAAGCCGGTGGAAAGATGGAACTGTCCAATCCAAAGTTCCGTTGTGGAATCTTTCTTTGAGATCACAATTCTTATGCTATGCCCAATTCCAAAACATTGCTGGAAGATAACATTCTAATGAACAACCTCACAAAAGTTTAGAAGATTTACTTGTTGTTTTATTCTACAGTGAGGGATTAAAAGAAAAAAAAAACAGAGAGGGAAGTAATTAGTTGTAATCTCTTGTAGCACTAGCAATCTATGTCTACTATTTAATTTCCTCACAGGGGATCAGACTCCTGAAATAAGCATTTCCCATACCCCGCCTTTCCATTCTGGAAAAGTTAGCTACCTATCATAGTAAGAATTCCACAAGAGTCAGTGCCAAGAACATATCATTTTGTGAGCTGGGTCTGGAGGTACCTGGTACAGGAACCATTAGGTTTTGTACCTGATTATGTCACAGAGTATAAAAGTTCCCACTACTATCAAAACTAGTCAAGTAATTTTCAGATATGTACAAATTTCAAGGATCCAGTAGGTTTAATTTTGTTTTGGCTTTTTTGGTTTGTTTATTGTTAATCCTCCAGGAAGGAATTAACCTTGAAAAAATCTCTTTGCTGAAAAGACCAGCTTTAAGCTTTGGAGAAGATATTTCTCAACTTGACTATTTAGGAAATCTTTGGATTTAATGTAATTTACATTAGGAAAATCCCTAGAACCAATAACCAAGACTGTTGATACGTTCTCATTGTAAACTTTTGTTTCAGGGTAAGAAGCGCTGAATGACAAAGTGAGCATAGAGTGCACTTACATGTTTACATACTAACGTTCTCACATTAGAACACAGCAGGGATGGAAGGTCAAGTGCATCCGCAAGGTTAACAAAGTTGTGGGAAAAAAAGTTAATAAATATATATCATAAGTACATATATATTGAAAAGTCCGCTGTTTAGAAAAATAGCATGTTTGTCCTTTAAATTAAAAACAAACCCCAAAAAAGCCTGTTTTAATCAGAAGACAGTTAAGAAGTAAGCATGAGTCTAGTCTTACTCCCATTCAATAAGCAAGTGGGCTTTGTGGAGACAGCCCCTGAGTACCCCCACAGGACTCCGAACTCAGGAAGGTTTCACACATGGCTTAACACTGTGCTGTGTCACCGCCTTGAAATGTGAACAAGAGGTCCTGCATTTTCAGTTTGTCCTGGCCCTTGCAAATTGCATAGCTGGTCCTTAAAGCATCTCACAGCGAAGAGAGAAAATAAGCATTTACCTTTGCCAATTCCAAAACAAGAATGCATTTAAAGCACCTTTGTATTATTAGTATTCATCTTCTGCCATCTATGTTACACTTATGTTTTTCAATAGCCTGTGACTATTTTTCAAATTAGCATATCTATGCTTTTTTATGATTAATCTTTTAAAGTATCAACATAAGTGTCAAAACACAATTTTACTTTTATTTTCTCACTGGTTTATACTCTTTTATGTTTTGCTGTGACCATGTATGTTGGTTTCCTAGGAAACCATTCTAAGAGGGGGAAAAAAATGATTAGCCATGTTCTTAAATTAGAAGCTACCTTTCCAGCAGCTGGGGATCTGTGGATAAGAACGTAAAGCCCACTCTCTGTTCTTAACACCTCCATGTCAGAGTTACAATAAATGCCCTCCCACATACCCAAATAAATGGACTGTCCTGAATTTAAAACTGAGGAATTATTATTTAGAACCATTTAAAACTTATGAATTTCCTCCAAAAGCATGGCAAAAATTAAAAATACGGAATGTAAGAGTTTCTGTTCAAATGGAAAATCAAGTTGAGAGAGAGAAAGCACACAAAAAACATTTTCAAGGGTCCCAAGGGCACTGCTACAGGAAATGAAGGGTTAAATGGCTGATTAACACGATGAATAAATTACCTGCTCTCAACAAGAAATAGAGAAGTCTGGTAGTGACCTTTTGGCTCTTAATGGCCTAAAGTGTAAATAATATAACTTTAAAAATCTATTTTCTTTCGGTTTTGAAGTATATAACAGCCCTGGGCTACAAACATTTAACAATCTCCCTAAAGTTTTTTAACTATCCTAAAATTCTTTTATTTTATTTTTAAATTTAATTTTTTAATCACCTGATTTCAAGATTCAATTACTTTTACTTTTTTAAAAAAAACTTTCTTCAGCCGGGCTCAGTGGCTCAGTCTGTCATCCCGTGCCTTTGGGAGGCTGAGGTGAGTGGATTGCCTGAGCCCACGGGTTCGAGACCCGCCTGGGCAGTGAGACTCATCTCTACAATAAATCAAAAAATCAGCCGGGCGTGGTAGCGCATGCCTGTAATTCCGTCTACTTGGAAGGCTGAGGCGGAAGGATCGCCGGAGCCCAGCAGGTCGAGGCTGCGGTGGCCGGGAGCGGCCATTGCACTCCAGTCTGGGTGACAGAGTGAGACTCCAACTCAAAAAAAAACCCAAAAAACTTTTTTCCTTCTTCCATGGAAATCCAAAAGAAAACAAGGTGGCACACATATCAATGTCAAAGCTTATGGAATTATTTGAGCATTATTAATATTCCTAAATGCACGCATTAGGTCCTGGGCTTTTCGTAGAGTTGTATGATTTGATGAGAAATCAAGATTGATACTTAGCAGTGGATATACTAATTTGACAGGAGACAACCCTTGCAACATTAAAACTTTACAACTTTTTCATTTAAAATAAAATGAAATCGTTGATTGAACATGTTTAAAAACCTAAGTGGATGGGGAAAATGTTGAAAAGAGATTATGTCACCCATGCCTTAGAATTTTAGTCATTAACAGCCCACTTTTGAGCTCTAGAAATTGTTCCCACGCATTTCATCCTGAACTTCTCCACATCTGCCCTACGCCGGTTAATTCACTGGCTAGTGAGAGAGCACAGCATGGCGCAGAACAGGTGCAACCATCAACATTTGGATGACACACACATTCTCTTGCCATTCTGACTGGAGGCTCTATGCCTGTTTCACAGCATTCCAGCAAAAGCAGATGTAAACCAGGCAGCAAGCTTGTCACACGTCACTTGCCTGCTACAAGGGAGACCAGAAAGTACTCACACAATGAACTTGTCTTCCAGGATTTTTGTTGATATAGCCTACATCGCCATGGCTGGCAAGGAGGTGACACCAAAAAAGGACAATGTTTTCGTCAGTATCCTCTAAACGAGAGCCAGCCACTCTTCCCCAAAGCCCAAAGCATATTGACGTTGGCACAAAAAAACTCGTCTGTCTCTCCTGATGACCCAGCTCTCTGGCAGGCAGGGTGGCTATGCCTGTTTGCTTACCATTTCAACATCTGCTGATATAGAGACTTGAGGAAACAACCAGTGATTTCATGCCCATATAACACACATAACTTAAGCTTCCACAAAACAGTAAGAGGCAAATACTTTTATAAATATTAATATATGAGGAGATCCCAAAAAAAACAGAGTTATTTTTTGGAGGGCAGCCCCTTGTCGTACAGGTTTCACTCGCTAGTTACATGTTCTAGGAACCCATGGGCATCACTATCTCAGCCAGCGTTGTTGCGAGAGGCTGCGTTTGGCTTCGGTGAATTTTTTTTAGAGATTCTTTCATTGCATTTGCCCATTTCATGATGGGTGATTTAGGAGCACACCTGCCCACACCCTGCTGAGTGGCCAGCAGTTTTGGACCCAAAATAACATGACCCTCAAGCCCCACGCTCCCTATTCACCTGATTTCACCCCCAAGTGACTTTTTCTTTTGTTTCCCCAAATGAAAAAAGCCCTCAGAAGGAAATGTTTCGCCCATGGGGTAGTGGAGAAACAAAAAAAGTCACAAAGACAATAGAAGGCATCAGAATTGACAAGCTCAAAAAGTTCTGAACAACGAAAAAAGCATCCGGATAGAGCATTGCATAAAATGGAGAGTTCTGTGAAGGTGAGAGTTTAAACACATAGGAATAAATACATGATTTTTTATATAAACAAGTTCTGGTTTTTTGGGGTCCCTGCTCATATATATACATGTGTGTGTATATTTCCTCAAGTTAGAGGGCAGGAGAGAAGTTCTGAGAAAGGTATGGGAGATATATGTGCTCCAAGACTCTAAAAATAGAGATATATGTGCTCCAAGACTCCAAAATGTTCCATATAATCATGAACTGATGCATGACTTTTACAGGAAGGTTGGAAACACTTTCAGTCCTGTACAATTTACCTACTCCTCTCCTCCCATGACATCCAAACCAAAAGCAACCCTATTAATGGCATGAACAGCACCCTAGTTGCTGATACAGCCTACATTACCATGACTGGCAAGGAAGTGAGACCCAAAAAGGACAATGTTTTCATCAGTATCCTGACGAAACATAAACATAGATCACTTTGGTGACGGTTTTTAAAATAACTATATTTTTTGGTTTTTGTGATTTTTGTGTGTGTTGGAGTCTCATTCTGTCACCCAGGCTGGAAGGCAGTGACACCCTCCCGGCCACTGCAGCCTCGACCTGCTGGTATCAAGCGATCCTTCTGCCTCAGCCTTCCAAGTAGCTGGAACTACAGGCACACGTCACCATGCCTGGCTAATTTTTTGATTTATTGTAGAGATGAGGTCTCACCAAGTTGCCCAGGCTGGTCTTAAACCTATGGGCTCAGGCAATCCTTTCATCTCGGCCTCCCAAAGTGCTGGGATTATAGGTGTGAGCCACCACGCCTGGCCTTTAAATAATTATTAAGGACTCAAGTTTAAATCCTAAATCTATGATCTTAATGTAAAACACTTTCCTTTCAGAATTTTTTTTTAAGAGTTGGGGTCTCCCTCTGTCACTTAGCTGGAGCATAGGCATGATCATGGTTCATCACTCCTGGGTTAAGAGGAACTTCTCACCTCATCCTCCCAAGTAGCTGGGAATATAGGCATGTACCACCTCACCCAGCTAAATTTTATTTTTTTGTTTATAGAGATCTGGCCTCATTATGTTGCCCAACCTGGTCTTGAACTCCTAGCTCAAGCAATCCTGTCCCCTTGGCCTCCCAAAGTGCTGGGATTACAGGCATGAGCCACCATGCCCGGCCTTATTTTTCCTTTTAGTAAACACATGAAATAGGTATGAAATCTTTCTTGGTGAGTTCTAATAAAACCCTTCATGTTTGTTTTCATCTACATTTTGAATTTCTAATTCATTTTCTGAAATAATACATTTAGAAGAAAGTATGAAAAAAGAATCTTAACTATTTTAAAAAGTTTTTCTAAAACATCTAAAAATGAATCCATTTACAAGTTAGGACTCTATAACTTGAGGACAAGTCTCCAAATTTGCTGGTTATAATTATTAGCTGTGCAGGTTCGGAAAGTGACTTCACATCTCTAGATCTCCATTCTTGCATCTGTAAAATGGATTAAGCACCATAACTACTACATAGAGTTCTTTTTCTTTTTTTTTTATTTGGGGTCTTACCCTGTCACCCAGTGGCATGATCGCAGTTCTCACTGCAGCCTGGACCTTCTGGGCTCAGGTGATCCTTCAGCCTCAGCCCCCCAATTAGCTGGGAATACAAGTGCGTGCCACCACATCTGGCTATTTTTAATTTTTTATAGAGGCGAGGCCTCGCTATGTTGCCCAGGCTGCAGAGTTCTTGAGTGTATTAAATAAATGCTTTTGGTTTGGAAGTCATGGGAGGAGAGGCGTATTAGGTAAATAAGGTATACAACTCCTCATATTACCTATCACATGATAAGCATTTGGGAAAATATGTATATGGATGTTGGATTAGATAGGGATGCACATTTTAAAACACTGAAGGCCAACTATCTGCTTAGTCTCATGTAATTATCCACCTGAGACCTTACATTAGCATTTTAATAGAATGTTCTTACTGGAATTGAAGGTGAAAGTTTTAAAAGGTTGTAACTGTTTTTTATACTAATTAAAAAGGAAAAAAAAAGAGAACAGGTTCAACATACCATCTCTTCCTTGATATCTGTTTTCATTTGTTCTGACTGACTGCGACTCAGTGCCATCTGGAGCCTAAACATAAAAAACAGACCATTTACTTATCTCCAACTTACAACCAGAGAACAAGGTACTGTAAATAATCCCGTTACTAATCTTTCGAGTACAAGAAATGCACTCAGAATTATAACAATCACTGTGGAAAAAAGAAACACTCCAGTTATCACCAACAAGCAATCATCCAACAAATATTTGATTATTCACAACTTGCAAGACACAATATTAACCCTGATGGGGATTTGAAAAAAGTCACGCGGGTCCCTGCCATCAAGAATGCCACCGTTGGCCGGGCGCAATGGCTCATGCCTATAATCCCAGAACTTTGGGAGGTCGAGGTGAGAGGATTGCCTGAGCCCACGGGTTCGAGACCAGCCCGGGCAACTTGGCAAGACCTCGACTCTACAATAAATGAAAAATCAGCCAGGCGTGGTGGCACGTGCCTGTAGTTCCAGCGACTCGGAAGGCTGAGGCGGAAGGAGCGCCGGAGCCCAGCAGGTCGAGGCTGCGGTGGCCGGGAGCGGCCGCTGCACTCCAGTCTGGGCGACCGAGTGAGACTCCAACTCAAAAAAACAAAGAAAGAAAGAAAAAAGAATGCCATTATTGAAAAGAAGACAACGACACAAAGGAATGCCACTATTCGAGGGGAAAGGCCAAACATGTTTTTAAAAATGAGAAAAATCCACTAACTGATGAATGAATAAGCAAAAGGAGCCTCTCCATACAATGGAGTATTATTTGGCTATGAGAAGAAATGAAGTTGGTGGCTCATGCCTGTAATCCCAGCACTCTGGGAGGCCGAGGGAGGAGGGACACTTAAGGACAGGAGTTTAAGACCAGACTGGGCAACATGGTGAGATTCTCCATCCAGCCAACAAGTAAAAATAAAAAAACAAAGTACTTCTACCACTACATGGATAATCCTTAAAAACATTCGTTTTTAAGTGAAAGGAACGGGTCACGAAGAGACGCATACTATGTGATTCCACTTACAGGAAATGCCCAGAGTAGACAAACTTCAGAGACACCAAGGAGACTAGTGGTTGCCTAAGAATAGGGAGGGGAACCTGGGAATGACTGCTCGTGGGTACAGGCTTTCTTTTAGGGATGATGACAGTGTGCTAAACTTGACTGTGGCAATGGTTGCATGACTGTGAAGATACTAAAAACCATGGAATTGCAACTTTAAATGGGGGAATTGTATGTGGATTGTACCTCAATAACGCTGTGATAAAATCAAATTACAAGCTAACATGTCAGCCATGAAAGTTCTTCAAATGAAGAAATAAAGCAACTAATAAACATGATATATATTAAAACTAAAATGCCAACCTAGCCATAATGTTCAAAGGAATTCTTGTTTCCAAGGGGTCGGGACAGCAACGCCTGAAGATGTGACCCTTCCGGGGGTTTATGGACATGGCCAGCCTTGGCTGGCTCCTCTCACCAGTGTGACCAGGCAGCTCTTCCTGTCTTCCAGACAAGGCTTCAGAAAGGATTCAGGGATCAAGAAGGGAGTCTGGATTCATGTGCAAAGAGGTTATGAATGGAACGAATTGCTTTTAAAACGATTGCCCTACTAGATTTCATCTCTACCGAGAGAAAGTGGCCTTTGTGGTCTCACCAGGTATGTCTCACCTCAAGCTGTTACCCAAGAAGGAACCCTCCTGCACCTGCAGTCTAAGAAGAGACTAGAAAAGCACTGGGGCAAGTACATCCAGGCCATTGGTATACCACTTAGAGACAGGCAGTACCCAGCACAGTGTGCAGTGACTACCAGGTCGTAGAAGTGGTAGGTGGAGACCCGGCAGGACAGAGCAGTACCATCCTCCTTCCCTTCACCCATGAGACTGCAGAGGCTGGCCCTCTCTGGGACAGGAACACAGTAAGTGATTCTAATCTCACAAAAGAACACTTATTTTGGAGCAAGTGGTCGGAACTGTTTTCCTTAGCAATTGAAGATGGCAGGGCAGATGGTATTCATTTCTGTATGATATTTCCCAGTGTCAGCAAGGGCTTCATGAGGAAGCATTTAAAAGGAAGGGCTGAATATGCACTTATTGGAAAACAAGAACCGCGAGTGAAGATGGCTGGCCCAAGACTGTTTGAGCCATGGGGACACACCACGCAAAAGTCTAATGGGTAGCAGTGTTTCAATTAAAGGCACGCGGTGTGAGCAACCTAACATTATTCTAATTTACTTGGGCTGTTTCTCTCTTAATGACTCCATCAAATGATCTAATCCACCAATTACCTTGAACTCAAACCAAGTGGCTTTGACGTTGCCAGAAATTTGCTGGAAAAATGTTGTTTCTAGCACTGAGCGGCAACATCCTCTTGGAGACTGGCAGAAATCCTACAACACATATTTTACTCGGGCTCAGTTCTCTGCCCCACCCCCCTTCACTTCCCTTTAATTCCCTGAGTGAGGGTTCTTTCATTGGAAAAAAAAGTGTCATAACACTCATTTTTCTACAGCTGGAAACCTAGGTCAATCCTTCAATGCTAGTGGATGTCCCCAATAACCCCTGGGGGGGTAACCAAGTGCTTAACTTAAGCAAGTGCCTGGAGTAATCCAGTGGCCCCAAAACTCCCGTCAAACCGAGTGGACTCAATCCACAATGGGTCATACAAATAGAACAGCAATCTGCAGCTAGAAAAGATTCCTTGGAAGCATGAAATTGAAATGTCTACAAAAAGAGAAAAAAAAAACCAAAAACTTCCACACGACAGATATATTCCTTAAACATAAACTCTTCCATTCGTTTTTAAAATAAAGCCTCCCAAAATTCATGCTACCCTTTAATTATAGTATAAATAAAATCTCATATTTAGCATGTTCACTATCAGCATCACATATAAAATGCAAATACAGCAGGATAGAGAGTGGTTAGAAGCAGGCATCTCAGAGTCAGACAAATTTGAGTTTACTATCTACGGGGCATTGAGCAAGTTACTTAAAGTCTATGAGCCTCGGGCATGGAATGGAAATGATGATACCTCATTCACAGGACAGCTGTATGGATTAAATGAGATAAAGCATGTAAAGTAGTTAGCACAGTAAGTGCTCCATAATGGTGGCAGTGACTGTTACTGTTATTACTATCATTACAAACATTGTTCAAGAGTCCCTTTATTTATTTCCATTCCAACCACTTGATCAGATCTTCTAGGCCCGAGTCACTCAGGCCAGAATGTAAATCAACTTCTATCCCAAGAATACCATTTAGGTCAGCTGTTTTTTTATTTGTTGTTGTTTTGTGGTTGTTGTTGCTTTGGTAGCAAGACTTTCTTGATGAAAGAGTGATCATTTCCATTCTGTGCAATCTCCTTATGGATGAGTATTAAGCAAACTATCAGCTGGCTTTCCTGAGTAGCACTGATGAGCTACCCAGGCACCTACTTTTATCATGCCTTTCATACTTGTATCATGCCTTCCCTGACATTTCTTTATCCATCAGTCCCACAGTCTGATGAATGAGTTGATCAACTGGGCAAATATTTACTTAATCTTCAACGTGCTGGTCATGGTGCTAAGTACCAGACACAAAAGGGAAGTTGTTTTCCGTCCAGGGTTCCTATTTTGTAATTCAGCTGCAACTAGTTCCCTCACACTCCACTTCTACCAATCTGCAAATGAGTCTAGGGAAAATCAAATATTCCTACAAGCATTAGTAGCTAAGGAAAGAATCCCCTACCTCCTAGTTTTCTCTAAGTAACAGTTGGCAGTCATGTCGTCTGGAAAACCATCCCTGTCACCCTTAGTGGGATGAGCAACTTCTAATGCTCCACGGACACCCCCTTCCTCTAACACAAGGATTACCACACTGATTTTTAACTTGCTTAATTTTCTGCCTCATCATTATAACTTCCAGAAGGACAAGGAGCAAGTCCCTCTTATTCACTCCCAGCACAGAGTCTTGGTGCCTGGCATATAACAGGTAGCCATTAGGTTTTTAATCATTTAAACTGGATTGATCCAGTTGATTCTAAGAGATGATTCCTTTGCCTTAACATCATGAAAGAAAACCTACTTTGTCTCTTGACTCTCTCTGTTGAGCAAATATGTCTCTGACGTCAGGAATCTGGTACTGTTTGTTTTTCTTCCTCAAGGTCTGGGAGACTGTCTCCACTCGTTTCTGAACGGCTGCTGCCTGGGTCCGGGTCAATGTTGATAAAAACACCATGCTTTCTTGGGGATCTCCAGCAGACTCGCCGACGAGATTGGACAAACCGGCCTCTTTCAGCCACTCTTCTTCCAATTCTCCCTCTAAAATGGGAGATAAAAATGGTATTGAAATCACACACTATAAGAACTTTGACATTTCTTAAGCTGTCATAAACTCTGACTGAAACTCTTCTCTTGCAACCAAACCACGGTGCTAAGAATCATTATCTAAAACTTGGACAACTGCCATACACGCCAGCCACGATATCAAATTTTAGATCGATTTCAGATAGACTCAATTAAAATTTTTAAATGACTTCACATGTAATTAACCTCTATAACTTCCCTGCAGATTAACTCAGAGGATGATACTGTTCCCCTTCCAGGGATGAGCAAGCAATGAAAAGATAACTTACTTCCATCAAGTTACAGAAGGAAGTCAATGCTGAGAATATATAGGAAAGTTTGGCTTCTCGGCTTAAATTCAGTACTACCTCGGAGTCCAGCACTAATTTATTGAAAGCTTTGTTTTCTATGATCACTAGAGCTGACAGGAAGTGTAGCAAAGAAGTCAACAGCATCTGAACACTGGAACAGAATCAATTTCAAATTACTTTTTCTAATCCCCAAAGTCAGCACATCAGATTACTTTTTACAAATTAAAAACAGCACACTATAATTCAGCAAAAAGGGGCTTGTTTAAGAAACTAACTAAATAACAGAATCAATGCAAAACCCTGAAAGCAGGGCATATACATTCATGCGTATTTATGCAGCTATTGACTTCCTAATGAAAATTCTAGAAAAACAAGAGAATATCTAGAACAGAGCCACACCAAGCACCATGTTTATAGAGGAAAATGGAAGAGCAATGACTTGGGAGATAAAAGACCTGAGTCCATACCTTATTTCTATACCTTGACATGTCACTTTGGACAAGTCCCTTAGCCTCAAGCTGACTCTGCTTTCTCATCTATAAACTGAAGCACAGCTGTCCCAGCTATGTCATAAGCAAACGAGAGAATGTTACATGGGAAGAGCTTTGCAAAGCACTAGGGAAGCCTAGTACGGGTCACATAGTACAGCACTGATGGACCTGCCTGTTTATCTTCCTACACTGTATAAACGCCTTGAGGTCAGAAATCAAGTGTTAATAACTTGAACCGTGAGAAACAATCCAGTGCTAGGCACTCCGTACAAACATAAAAAGTAAAGCCAGCCATTATTATTAATGCTGTCTAGGCAGAACTCAGGAATGGCATATAAACCAAACCGCTAGAAGACAAGCTGATACTGCCATGACAAGGAGAGCAAAATAACTATGGAGAGCCACTTACTCCATTAAAAAGTAAAGGCAAAACTCAAACAATTTAAAATCTAAGAAGAAGTATAGGCAGGTAGGACATCCCCAGTCTTCTTGATGACATTATGTACAATAATTATGAAGCTAATTTAACTTTGGAGAATGATCAAACAGTTAAAGACACACACTCCTATGGATCAGGCTTATACACTGCTTTGTCTAGTACATTCTCTCCTTTTTTTTTTTTTTT